CTCTACTAAATGGAAGGTATTTAAGGACAAGAATGCTCATGGAACCAGCAAATTTAAAATAAATATTGCAGACTGTTCATGGGAACAAGCTCAMGTTTAGAATCACAAGAGCAATCTGATTCAGAGTTGTGCTTACCCAGTCGGAGAATAGCAACACGCTCTTTAATTTGTGTGTGCAACCAAAATCTCAATAAAGGGCACATCAAGGACACCAGAGTGTACATCTGATAAGGAAATGCACATTCAATATATTTTTCTTTTCATAAGGCATTTTGTCATTAAATTTGTCTTTTAAAGRTTTGTTTTCCAGGGAAAAGGGAACAAAAGGGAAATGGAAAGCAGCAAGTTCCCTCAAAAAAGCAAAGTTTTTGGTTGAGGAACATCAGCAACAATACATAATTGATTTCTGCAAAAAGAAAGTGTAGATTTATTGCTTGCTGTGAGCTGTTCGATGGATGGTCTGTTCCCAAGCCATGTGACTCATAAAATACAAATGCTCCAGCTCAGTGAGCATCCCGAAAAGCTTTGTACACGAAACACTGCATAGCCAGGGGCTGTTTACCTTGCCAATTTTAAGCAAAACAGATGGAATCTCTTGCTAGGAACCCACTTCCTCGCTGCTCTCTTTGCTTAAGCTAACACCTACCAATCCTACAGAAAACAACAAGGATGTTTTTCTTCCTTTCCTTTCTGCAAGCCCCCGTGAGCGACAGGGAGCAACTCTCCCATGATCTGTATAAAGCCATCCCCAGGATCTTTAAACACACATGAGCTCTCAGTTCCTACGACAGGGGTTAATTAACCATGGYCTGGGCAAGCGGTGAGTGCTCTGTCAAAGCAAGCAGCCTCATCTGCACTGAGGACCCGGCCCCAGGAGATCTGCGTGGTCCGGCGGTCAGAGGGCTTGACGGGAGCCTCCCAGATCATCTAGATGACCCCTATCACTCCTGACATGTTTTTCCTGCTTGGGTCTTCAGCGGGGAGGCTCCGCAGTCCCCCGACGAATCTGCCCTTGTGTTTCCAGCCACATTTATCTCTAATATCAAGTTATCTCTCAAACAGGCATTTGACAAACTCCTGTTGCTTATCAAGTATTTATGACCAGAGGGAAGTGCTCTGGGACCCAAGGCACATTTGAGGGGGGCTTGTAGGGGCTGCACTAACCCTTTCTACAGAGTGAGCTTTGCTGCAGGAGACTTAACAGGAACCTGATCAGGCGGCCACATTTAATAAAGGAGGAAGCTGAAGTGCATCCAGAGCAAGGGCTGYAAGATTTGTCACGGTCTGTGCTCTAAGGCACAACCACTCACTGCCATTTTTGCCCAGCCTGCTGCAGAGGGCTGCACGAGCCCAAACATACCAGATCTTTTTTCTGTGGATGCTACTGGGCTCTGTGCCAGGCCTAAAAGACGAAAGAGTGATGCCTGGGAATGCACTAAGTGATAACGGCATGAAGGAATACCCAGACTGGCATTTATTTCCAGATGCTGCGGTGACAGGTCCTCACGCAGACGCTGGAGATGTAAGGAAACAGAAAATAAAAGTCCTTCTCTCTTTCAGGCAAATGAATGTCTGAAGAAGAAAGTCTCGCATGCGGCTTGCGCGCCAGGGACTTCACCAGTTGCCTCTCTCTATGTTTTCTTCTACTTTATATGCAGCTTGGAACTCCTGAGTGAAAAGTGCATGCATGGTAAATTATGATGTGCATGTTTTATTACAGAAAATGCAGACATATTGCGGCTCATGCTGCAGGGCTTAAATCATCACTTTAGGTCTTTATCAAAAATGGAGATCGCTGAGCCTCACGGGAAAGGCATTTACATCTTCATCATTACAGAGGCAACAAACTTCATCCATAAAGATGTGCCTGGAACAAATGGCTGCAAATTGTGGACACATGTTTCACTTTAATTGGTCTTCATCAGTGCAGTCTAGCCAGTGACTTCAAAGCTCTYACTAACCAAGAAACCTCTCCCAAATTTTTTATTTTAATCTTTTTATGCTTTTTGTATGCTTTAGAGATGTCAGATTAGATAGCAGCACTGAAGATATCGCTCCAAAGCAGTGTTTCTTTAAAGCTATACTACATGTTTAATTACTAATTAATAAATTATGAATGACTAGAGCTAAAGCAGCATGGCCCAGCCTCCCTGCACTGGGCCAAACGTAGCAGTGCAATTTTTACGAAGTCTATCTCTTGACAACTGGGATCACATCCAAGGCAGCCACAACCATACTCTAAAGAGCAGCTGTCACTAGTCCCATCTTCACATATTATTCTTGATCAGCATAAATGGATGGAAAACGCTGTTCTGGGGAACCACAGTAGAAGACTACGTGTAGATGGCAACAGATCAATTATATAACTCCTCTAAAATTCACAAAAGAGAAGGATGTTCAATTTCCTCTCTTAAAACCCMATTTAGATACAGGTCTGTTTTTTTCACAAATCTCCCTAACAATTCCCACTAGTCTAAAAACCAGACAAATATGTACATAAATGTATGCAGCTGCAAAGCTTAGCAGTCCTGCTGAGTGGCAGGGTCTCACTCTCCCAGGTCCTGTGCAGACACACAGCTAAATCCAGGTCTAGCAGAGCACTAAGAGAAGTGGAAATGGAGATGCAGAGGGGTGGTTTTTTTTTCTTTTTCTTCCTTTATAGGAACTGCAATTTTCCTTTTTTTTTGCAGACAAAATAAGACCACACTGCAGGCACTGCCTACAGCACAAAGAGCAGCTGCAGGAGACACATTAAAGCCATTTCTTCTTCCTTTGGTGAAGACTGCACTCTTTGGAGATTGTCCAACCCCTGCAGGGTTGTGGGCAACTGGGGAAAAAAGAAGCTGTAGTAATGTACTTACCCAGCATCTAAAAGAAACTTACTTAACAGAGATTAAATAACTTGGTGAATCTTCTCATGGAGCCCTTGAAAAATAGCTAACCAACCAACCAAACACCAGCTAGTGGAAAAAAAATACTCCATATGCCCCAAATATATACTGTAACAGCTGGATTTGTTAATGATAGCTACATTTAGTGCACACCTGCGCTGCACTCAGAGAAATGAAGCAGTTAAATTAACTGCTAGGAGAAATACTACCTTCAGAATCCATCCTTTCAAATTGCATCATGGAGTTCACAGTATCTTTGCCTATTCATGCAGTGTACATACAATTTGCTCATTCTTTCCCTCTGCATTTTCAGTGTGCCTCTATTTGCTGCCTAGATTTTCAGTAAACTACCCTGAAAAATACAGCTTAAACTAGCAGGAATAGCAACGGGGTTCACTGCCAAGCAGGGAAGTGTTACATTAAAAGAAAAAAAATACAGAAAGATTAAGCACTACAATAACTTATAATATAGGATATAAGATAAATATATAAGATCTATATATAATAATGATATACAATGTATATTATATAATAATAATATAGTATATGATAGATATAATATACATTACACCTTTTTAATGCCACATTAGCAGAAATGTATTCTTACAAATTAGCTTCAAATTTTCATTACAGTGAACTTCATATTGCTCCAGGAAATCTTCCGTTGATGTTCATCAGTTTTGCAAGAGTAACGACTTGTTGGTGCAGCCCCGTTTTACCTTAGTGAGCAGCATCCTGGTACTGTCAGACAGGGAAGGCTTGGCTACTCAGGCAGCAATATCCCCAATTTTCATGTTCTCTGCCTGGCCAGAGGCCACACAAGCAGCCCTACAGAATTCACTGAGATCATTTTAGGATGAAGTTACCATGCAATATGTACATAATATTTACATATCTTGGGGATCTCTCTGGAGTTTCCCCTCAAATCACGGAGATGCACCTGAGTACCTCCCGTGTTGTAAACAAGAATAGCAAAACAAGTCAAACAATGAAAGCACATAAAGACCTCTCCTTTTATACCCTGATGGTAACTGGTGAACACATGATATAATATTAATTAGGCTTTGGTAAAAGTCTATAAAATATTTCTTAGACTAATTTTTYACACACACCGATGAAAGTAATAGCACTGCTCTTTCTGGGCAGGCCAGGCTGGCGTGATTTTCTGTTTGTTACCTGGCTCGGACAGAATAAGAGAAATCCACACAAAACTACATACCATAAGGCATATCATGAAGTCAGAAATTCTGCTGAATTGCAAACAAAATATAAAAACCTTTTTCCAGCTACTTTAAAATAGCAACCTCCTTTCTAAAATATATGATGGGAAGTGATAGTATTTTGTCTTTTCCTGTTTTACTTAGTCTCTGAATTTCTGAAGAGAAGCTGTTGCTGGTGATTTTGAAACTGGTAATTGTCAATCTACAGAAATGCTCCAACAGTACTTGTTTCATGTCTGAAACCTTGCTTTATTCCTGTGAGTAAGTGAGACAGACCCTATCCACACAGTTTAAATTTCACTTGGATCCTTTTGCTAAACTTTGCTACTGAATGGGCTCCTCCAACAGCCCAAACTCAGCAAAAAGGAACTTCTCACCTCASGAACTGACACAGCCTTTAGGGCTGTGTGAATCTGGGGCTCCCTTTCCTCACTCCAACATCTTTTTGTATAGAGATAACCAGCAGATCTGCCAACAGGGAGGGATCCCTTCGGTCCATTGAAAACCAGACAAAAAGCTGATTACAAGAAATTCATTGCCTTGCTTCTTCCAAACACCTTCTTCCGCTTCCAGATCTCATTCTTCTGAGCATGCTCCTCTTCCCTTGGTGCAGCCAAACACTTCTCCCCTTGTACAGGACTCTGGAAGTCAGATTCTCTTGTTCAATAAGGTCCTTGAAAATATAGCAAAAAGCAAGTTCAAGGTGATTGTGCAGAGTCCTGTACAAGGGGAGAAGTGTGCACTTGAAGCACACTCTATGCACTTGAAGCAAGGTACATGGTTAAGAACACCCCTGAATTGGGGCTTGCATAAATATTACTATCCTACCTAAGAATTTGAATATTTCTTGCAAGAAGTATTAAAAAAAAGAAAAAGAATATTTACTTACTAAACAGTTGCCAATAGAGGACCTGTAAGCTTCTCTTCATGGTATCATGTGGTCCTGCTGATCTGCCAGTTTATTCATGATTCTGTCAAGAAAATTAAGAGAAGAAGAAAATGATATATGATTTATTACAGGATTTGTGTTTTACTATTATACCTGTTTGCAAAGTAAAACGAAGCTACAGGAAAATCATACTGATAACAAAAGGGAAATTGTCTGCCTAAATGTGCTTTGCTCTTTTTAAYCATCCTCTCCAACAGCTCACAGTGAAGTGCATAACAACAGCCAAAAAAGGGGGAAATTCTAAAATTACACAAGTAAACAAAGTATAAGAAGTATGTCATGGATATTTTTCACCTCAGGCTTAAAAATACTGGGAAAGAATAAATCCCATTCACTCTCATACTGCTTATTCACATTGTGAGGGATATAAATGCATAAATCATAAATGAGGCAGAAAGTTCCCAAACACCCTTATGAGTAATATCTCACCAAGTACTCAGAACAAAACCACTTTTAATTTCTTCAGTCTGTAAAAAAGCATTTGCTAAAGGTTTATAACCAACGTAAAGAGAGAGGACACTCAGACCATGCTCCCAAAACACCTCCTGTCAACATGAACTAGCAYGTGGTATTCTCTGATTTTCAGTTCATCTTTTCATCTTCTGAACTACTAAGGACATTTACAAGTCATTTGAACATGCTCTTGTATAAATATTTCAAAGTGTGTTTAAAGCTCAATCTTGAAGGCCTTGGACAAACATGTCAAGCCAATAAATAGCACCGTTGACCTGAAGACATGCTGAAAAGTTTGTGTAAGCAGAATTGCATTGGACTTCTATGGTGAAGCCTCCCAGGACTGTCGTTTTTCTTGCCCACGTTCCATAACAGAAGATGCTCCTTTCTTTGTCATATTAACAAATAAAGCAATTTATGTGCACATGATGTTCTGGGATTCTCCCATGCTCCCACTTCCACTTAAAAATGGACATTATGAAAATGAAATTTCCCAGAAATTTCCATATTGCCAAGTAGCTGCTCTCTCCTAAATTGCTTTTTTAAAAAAGATCAGAGTTAGACTCATGATAATGTTTGGCCATTAGAACTTGCTGGGGAACTCTTGTTCYTCCCTTTTTCCTCAAGGTTTAACACACAACAAAGCAGAAAGTCTTTATAAATAAATAGATAACAAATAGTTTATGGCAGCACTTTTCCAACAGACATATCCCAGATGCGTGTGCTTAGCACACCTTCACCATTAAGATATTAATAATAAACATATAAGCTGCAAAGGACCAGAACCACATAAGCTAATTACGATGCAGATTCCCATATCCCCAAATGCCTTGTTTGTCAGCTTATGCCAAARCAGGATTTACAAGCACTGACCAATTTGAAGTAAAGTGCTACACATATAATGAAAAATAAAGGAGAAGATGAAATTGCCATTGTAAAACCATGTCATGTGTCAAATGCTTTGAATATTTTAAACTGTGCTTTCCAGCTGCAATGTGATGCTTGATTTTTGCCAGTCAACTTCAATTTATTCCTATTTCTCTTCCATCCCCATGCTAAAGTTGCCCATAATGCTTAAAGGTATACTGCTTATAGAWTCTGTAACAGTGGATAAAATAAATTGTAGGCTGTTGTTTGCTTATTTATTTGTCCAGACATAAATCTTCCAAACTGCTTTTATTTCAAATATGGTAATTTTTGCTGTGCTTAAAAAAAGGAAATTGTGTGTATATGGTGAAAAAACAAAGACTTTCACTTGAAAACTTTCAYCATGTTTTTGAGTTGTCTTCACTTATAAAATTTATGTTCTTGACTATATGGCCATAAAGTCATACATGGAAAACTCAGTAAAGTTGAATAAACCAAATGCTGCCTTGAGACAACAGTCTCTTAATTTCTGCAAAGTCCTTGGCATGACCTAGTGGTGAATTTAAACCTGAGTGGAAAAATATTGCAAGTTGCTTTTTTTCTCGTTGTTAATACATTTTATTTCCTTGCAAAGGGAAAAGATGCATGCCTTTATCTGACAGATAAGGTAAAAGCTCCTCTGGAGTCCATCCTCATATAAGCAGCGTTGGGACTGTGTCTTCCCAAATAGCACTTTGTGACTACCAGCACTGAATTTCATCAGTCTGTTTGATTGCCCAGTCACCCACTACCATAGTATTTCTCAGAGTTGGCTATGAAGGGCAGAATATACTACTACACAGCAAATACAAATACATGTTATTACTAACACCTTCTGAAGTTGCCACCCTTCAACACTAGTATCAGTTTTAGCAGCTCCCAAGCACAGTTCAGTCATGGAAAACCTTCTGTATTTCCAAGAAGGGGAAGCAAAGCTTCACAGTCTGTTTAAAATACTCCAGAGGAAACCTGCTTTCTGAGTATCGATTGATGTCCAGACATTTCTGTAACATCTCTCTACCATACAGGCTCACCAAGGGCAAGGTTTCCTTCCCCAGAAGTACGTGTTTTTCATAGGCTTTAGCTTGTGAAATTCTTCTGGAGGCTTTTGGTGGTGTAAGGTTACATGTTGAGTGGTAGCTGAGAGGCCTCCACTACTCCAGCCAAGGTTTTCTTAAGAACTGGAGCATATGCTTTTAGGCACTAACAGATAAGCACAATTATACACATAYAGATAGAAAGGAGGGACATAGAGCCAGATCCTCACATTGAGCATATTAACATAAAAACAGAGCACTGGTACCCATTTTAAATAAATAAGAATAAAAGATGTGCAAGGAAAAGAAAGAAAAAGAGAAAARRTGAAGAGAAATCAAAAATTATCCAGAAAAAAARTCAATGTGAATAATGTATTCTAAAATAAAATAATTCAAAATCTAATTTGAGTATGAATTTTGTACCCATTTTATACCCCAAGTATAAAACATTTCCCTGAGTTTTCTCAAGAGTACTCTTCTACAAAATATTCATTCTAAAACATATTTCACTTCAATATTTGATGAGCCATTCTGGGCATCAGAGAGAATGATGTTTTACAAATACACTGGATCTTGGATTAAGATTTTTTTAAAAAACAGATTCTTAAACTTGAGTTCCTAGATCCACTTCAGGTCTCTAAATAAACAGGCACAATCTCAGTAACTTTGAACACCCATTGACTCTCCTCTGAAGTGTAAGAAAGAGAGGTCTAATTATGGCTTTAATTTTTTTTCTATATCATAACTCATACTGGTTCAACTACCTGGTGAGCTGGTATGTTTTATATACTGGTATATTTTGAAGGACTGRAATAAAGCTAGTGCAAGCTTGTGCACTTGAACCCACTTTAATTTAGAAAGATTAATCTTCAAAATTTCGAAACTGGAGGAAATCTGTATACCGAAAAGGTGATACGTTGCCTCATCTTAAGATACTTGTGTTTGAAAATATAAGCTATAATATATTGAAAATATAACTTGTCTGGAAATGGCTCAAATCTTTTGCCCTCCGCAGTGCAAAATACTGCACAGAGAGTTTGTCTTATGCATGAGGATGAATAGACATCTCTGTGGACAGTGAGCAGTATTGTCTTTCACAGTAAGTGATCCCCTCTATGTCTCAGCTAAATGAAGGCGGACAATGAAGACAAAATGATGAATAGGAGACAAAACAAGTCCAAAAGAGATGATAGCTCCCTGAATGCTCAGTTGTTCTTTATGTCTGATGGGAGTAAAAAAAAAAAAAAGTGTTTTAAATTACAAAATAAATGGAGAAGAACAGCAGATAAGCATAGAGGCAAACTGAGCAGCCAGTGTGCCACCTTTGCTGCCTTTGGGGGTCTGTCAAACAGAAGCCAGAAGATTCAAATAAAGAAGCTGGAGAAACAGTGAAAAGAGGAGACAGGCAAAAGGGATGGTAGCTAAGACTGGATAACACACCCAAACTTTATTTATTTACATTTAGGGGTCTTCTCTCCTCTGTGGATTGCTCTGGAAAGGAGAAGCTGCACTGCTGACAACTTTCAGCTATACTAGTCTTGCTGCTGCAGAACATGAGAGAGGAAAAGACAGCCAGAAATACCTCTATCTCCCATTTTCTTCACTGAATCACCTAGCAGAGAAATGCAGTGTTCATCTTTTTAGCACTACAGTGTCCTGTAGTGTTCAACAAGTGCCTTACAGCAAAGGCTCTTCACTCACCACTCAGGGAGCTCTGACTCTCTCCTGCAAGGSGTCTTCTAAAGCCACAGTAGATGCCTCCTAGCTGAAAGGTAAGAGCTCCTCTTTCTTTGCTACCCCTGCTGATTCACCACTTCTCGCTGCACCATATACTGAATTCAAAATGGCCTGTAGGGGCCAGAGATCCTAACCACAAAGTGCACTTTCATGGAAAGTCYGGTGGGAAAAGGCAAAGGCTCTCAGTGCTCAGGATCAAATTCACAGAGCCCATGAAGACTCTTGCATGACTAAGGTCTTCACCCACTGTATCCCAGAGGCCAGCAACTCAGTGAGTGCTTGTGTGTGCCTCATCAGAAGGAAGCACTTATATTCCTCTTGACTACACAGCGCTGAAGCTTAACTTCATGCTTTCATGTTTTTGTGATTTGTTTCTTAATTCAGTGGCCTACTTCCACAATGCAGCTGTTATTTTGCAAAATTTATATCCCCCAAACCTTTAGGGCATGCTAATAAAAAGATGATTAAGTTGCAGCAATGAGCTTCCTTCCAGCAAGAACTCTGTGTTCTTGTTCAACATGTGCTACATTGTCTGTTGTGATTTATTTCCCACCACTTGGAACACGCCAGCCCCAGTTACCATCTTTCTTCATAACCCCCTGAGTATAGCTTCTTTGATATTTTTATTTCCTTAAAGATCAGAGTCCCCTTAATACCTGCACCTTTTTGCACTCCTTTTGGAACTGTTCCTTCCTTATGGATCCCAGAAAGAGCAATTTTTCATCTGCTTTCACCGATATCCTCAAAACTTCACATCCTCCACTTCCCTAAGATCTCCAAAGACATCTTCCTGAGATCTCAGAATGCCACAGCTGAGCAGCACCAGCCTCAGCTGCGCTGCGTAGACCTGTCACACACGTGTAAGGAGCAGTCATGCAGRCACAGGATT